CCTGCGGCGGGGGGGTCGGCGCCGGCGGCGTGGTGGTCGTGGGCGCCGGCGTCTCCTCCGTGGGCGCCGGCGTGGGCCTGGGCGTGGGCTCGGGGCGGGGAGGCGGCGTCGTGACGGGCGGCCTGTAGGAGACCACATGTGGAACCCGACCCCCACCCCGACGATTTCTAAGGGGGGGTCGGGGTGCACTTCGCTCGGGAGCTCCCAAACGAAGTGACCCGACCCCCCCCCCCTTCTCCTAGAAATGGTGGGTGGTGGGGGTAGGGTTCACATGTGGTCACCGAGCCTGGTCGTGGTGGAGGTGGTCGTCGTGGTCTGGTCGAGGAGCGGCCAGAGCAGGAGCAGGGGCAGCAGGAGGCACAGCGACCACCAGCAGCTGCACCCGGGCCGGGGAATCGGGACCGCCGCGATGCTGCCGGCGCCTGCGCCGACGTACCTGTACACGGTGGTGGGGATGAAGTCCCCGCGGCCCTGCCCGACGACGGCGTACGTGTAGCCCGCCGTGCCGCACGAGCCGCAGCCGACGCCGCCGCAGCCGCACGCGGCACAGCCCGCCAGGCACGCGGCGGCGCCGGGGCCGCACGAGGCGGCGGCGCAGTCGCCGCAGCCTCCGCCGCCGCCAGCGTACCCGGCCGACGGAGCGCCCCCAGCGTAGCCGCTGGGGTACACGGCCGGGGCGCCGCCCACGGGCGCGCCCCCTGCATACGCGCCGCCCTGCAGCAGCGGTGAGGGGCCCATCGCCGACCCCATCGCGCCGACCCGCCCCCTCCCCGACGCCATCATCGCGCCGCCAGGGACGGCGTACGCGCTCCCGAAGGCCGCCATCGGGCTCCTCTCTTGGCAGCGGTGGAACCGTGGCTCGGGAACAAAAGCTTGAGCCAAAGGCTATGGAGCCAGCGAACTCCACACACGGCTGCTGGCTTCCCAGGCCTGCCACGGCGCGCCAGCCTTCGCGTCCCCTGCAACGTGCTCGCTTGTGGCGCGGAAGAGGGGGGACAGAGCAGGGGGATGAGCTCCGAGGCCATGTCTTTCACCGAACCCGCACCATGCTCCCCGCACATGCTTCTCCCCACCCGACAGGTTGGGGATGTCGGACTTCAAGAGAATCTGACACCAGAGACAAGCCCCAATCGTGGATGGCTTGAACATTGGTGGTATGGAGATTGACAGATCGATTATGAGATCGATCGTGGAATCGATAGTGAGACCGATAGTGAAGTCGAGCCAATGACAAGTCGATTCAATGAGACCAACCGTGAGATCGATCGTGAGATCGTTCGTGCGATCGATAGTGAAATCGATTGTGAGATCGATAAAGAGACCGATTGTGATGTCGAACATGACATTGATAGAGAGGTGGATAAAGCGACCGATGGTAAGACCGATCGATGCGAAGATCGACCGCCGCCCACCGAAGTCGGCCTAGGACCCGGAACGCGGGAACCCGGGAACCCGGTGGCCCGGCCGCCCACCGAAATCGGCCCGGAACTGCCGCCAAACCCTCCAACATCCGCGAGGACACCTTCAGTGCAGGCACTGATCGGTGATCGACTGCGAGATCGATCGTGGAATCGATAGCGACAACGATAACCGCATGCCGATGATAATAAAGGGACCCCCCCCTTCAGTGTTTAGAGTTGATTATCGTCGCCCTATACAAAATTCAAATTGGGCGGCGAGCGCTGAGGCCGAACTTCATTATCACCTCGAAACGCTATGTTGAGATAGCAACATCAAGCGATGTTGATATAGCAACATCAAGCGAAGCGATCACACTTATCTCGTATTTTATCCGTATTTTATATTTGTATCTATCCCCGCGCGCGCCTGAACTTTTTTATCCCTGGGGTTGATTATCCATGGAAACTGAAGCACATGAGCTACCCTACACGAGCACTTAAAAAAATCGATTTTCATAAAGCGTTTGTAAATTAAAATTGATAGATTTGGAATTTTGAAATGTTCCTTGCTTCTTCTCTTATTCTCGTTCTTCTTCTCCTCTTCTTCTGCTCTTCTTATGATTATTCTACTCTTCTCTTCTTCTTTTATATTTCTATCTGTCCCCACGCTCGCCTGAACTTGATTATCCCTGGGGTTGATTATCCATGGGGTTGATGTCTCAAGCGAAATAAACAATAGTTTGACTGTGTCTCAAGCGAAATAAGCAATAGTTTGCGGATGTCTCAAGCGAAACAAGGGATTTGTCGAGGATGTCTCCAGCGAGATAAGCCATTGTTGAGGATATTTCTATGAAAACTAAACGCCAAGGATGTCTCAAAACGTGCTCGGCTTGGTCTCCTCTTGATCATCTCTTACTTCGAGATTATGCTGAGGTCTGCTGGGCTACTTTTATTATCTCTCCCTAAACCCCGAACTTTATTATCCCCTAGTGTTTATTCTCACGGGCATGAGGTTAGTGAAGAAGTCGATCCGATGACACCGATGGTGGAGTCGACCCAATGAGATCAACAGTGAGATCGATCGTGAGATCGCTCGTGCGATCGATGGTGAGAAAAGGTCTCCCGCCCCGCCTCGCAGGCCCTGCAATACCGCGGCCGCCAGGCCCGAGGCGTGCTGGGTGCTCCCCTGCAGGGGGCCATCCCGCTTTCGAGCCTTCGACGGAGGACGGCTGCACGCCGCGGCTGCCGGGCCCAGCGTGTGCGGGTGCTCCTCGGGGATCCCGCATCGGGTTCTCAGTGGGGCCCACTCGAAGCAAAACATGCACTTCATCACGAGCATGCCATGCTGACCAGCTGTAGTCCACCAGATTTCCATCGAGGTAGAAACACATTCCCGCGAAGTGTGCAGAACCCAAACCATTACCCCCATTGGTGGGCGTTGCCATCTACGGGACTGTGGGTACTCTCGAGTTCCTGGCAGGTTCAGCGGAGCGCAGTCTTACCCTGACCCAGACTGCTGCTCCTGGCCCTGGGCGTTGCCAGCTGCTGCGCAACCGTCGGCAACTTGGTGAGCTCCTGGCAGACTCCGCGGATCACCGCCATGCGCAAGCGCAACCTATGACTCCCATCCCCGTGCGGTGCCAACTGCGCAACTGGTGGCACATCCGTGATGTCCTGGGAGATCCAGTTGAAATCAGCTGAATGCGGTTCTTCTGTGCAAGCCCGACCCAGGACATCCATCCCTGGGCGCTGACAACTGCGCAGCTGTCGGCATTTGCATGAGCTCTGGGGAGGTCCAGCGGAATGCGGCCATGCGCAGGAGGAGGAGGAAGAGGAGGAGGAGGAGGAGGAGGAGGAGGAGGAGACAGGAGGAGACAGGAGGAGGAAACTGGATTCCGTATCCTCCTGGGTGGGTCACCTGTTCCAAATAACGCGATGCTTTTCCCACCCTCTCCTCTCCCGCTCCCTCCCCTCCTCCCTTCTTCCGCTCCCTAGGCGCTGCCAAGAGCGCAATTGTTTGCACCTTCGTGAGCCCCTGGGACATCCAGCAGAGTACGGTCCAACGCAACAAGCCTGAACTATCACTCCCCCCCTTCTGGGCACTGCTCGTTGTGCACCGGTCATCATTTCCGTGAGCTCCTGGGAGGTCCAACTGAGTGCGGCCCCGCGCGGACGTCAACGGTTACTCTCCTTCATCCCTGGACGTTGCCAAGTGCGCAACCGTCGGCACTCTCGTGAGCTCCTGGGATGTGCGGATGATTTTGGTGTTATGAATGGATCCAGGCTATGATTACTCTCCTTCCTCCCTGGGCGCTGACCACTGCGCAACTGTCGGCATTTCCATGAGCTCCCAGGAGTTTCAGCGGAATGCGGCTTTACGCAGGAGGAGGAGGAGGAACATGAGGAGGAGGACGATGAAGACGAGGAGGAGGACGACGAGGAGGAGACAGGAGGAAGATAAAAATGTCCAAACCCTCCTGGGTCGGGCACTTGGTTTGAATAGAGAGATGCTGCTCCAATCCTCTTCTCTCCCGCTCCCTCCCCTCCTCCTTTCTTCCGCTCCCTGGGCGCTGCCAAGGGCGCAATTGTTTGCACCTTCGTGAGCCACATGCAGCAGAGTCAGGTCCAACGCAACAAACCTGAAATATCACTCTCACCCTCTGGGCGCTGCTAATTGTTCAACAGTCATCACTTCCGTGAGCTCCTGGGAGGTCCAACTGAGTGCGGCCCCACGCAGACGTCAACGAGTACTCTCCTCTCTCCCCGGACGTTGCCAAGTGCGCATTCAAGCGGCACTCTCGTGAGCTCCTGGGAGGTGCGGCGGAGTGTGGTGCTATGACTGGATCCAGGCTACTAGACCTCATACTCCCTGGGCGGTGCCAATTTGTGCCAAACGCGCAACTATCTGCACGTTCGTGAACTCCTGGGAGATATCGCGGAGTGCCGCTTTATGCCAGCAGATAGATGTCCTCCGGTGCCGCCACATAAAATGTGGCCTTCTTCGGGGACGCAATGCATAGGCCCCCCATGTAGCTCGGAGGATGGGCAACCCGCCCTATATAATGTTCACTCGCCTTGGATGAGCTCGTTGATATTACCATGGATAGAGTGTGTCCCTGGGCCCCTGGGTTTCTGATTCGGGCGGGGTTCATGGATGTTGGCAGCGCCGTCCGTCCAGCCAGCGCCCTTAAGGCCAGGGCCTTGGAAAAGAAAGGCCACGCCCCACGAGTGCCTCAAACTGAGGAGAAGTGAGGAGGACAATGATGGAGGAGGGCGGAGGAGCAGGGCAACGGGAGAAGGGAGACAACGGCCGAGGCACCGTCAGAAGACGTCAGAAGCCTTGCGTGCAAACATCGGCACCAGCACTTTGTCGAGGCGCCAGAACAAACAGCAACCACCAAAAAAACAAGCTGTTCGATACTCGAACGCTAAAGACCAGAATAGACTTTGTCTTGGCCGCTGACGTTCGCTGCCTCCGTGCAACCGGCCCGGCCTGGGGTTGCCTGAGCTGCGAACGAGTGCGCCCACACGGTTCCGTGGGACTCGGGAGCAGACACGGCGCGAGCGCCAACCACGGGGCCTCCGGGGCGCGCTGCTGAATTACATGTCCGCATCGTGATCCGCGAAAGCGTCGCCGCCGAAGCAGACATCGATCATGCACTCCTCGCTGGCAAGGCCGTTCGCCGACTTCTCCTCGCACACCTTGCGGGCGTGGTCCGCCTTCACCGTGGGGCAGTTGTTGAGGTCGGGGCGATTCGGCGCGTGCACGGGGGTCTTCGTGCGGTACAGGAGCTGCGCGGGGTCAACGCCGTTGGTGCCGATGCGGCTGCGGATCAGGGGACGGGTGTCGTCCGCACCGTTGCCGTTGAAGTTCCCGCAGTGGCCGTCCTGGTTGGGCTGCTTGGACATGACGATCCGCGCGTTGATGTAATCTCCCTCGCCGGGCTCGTTCCAGCGGTTGATCTGCACGGTGATGAACAGCGGCAGGGTCACGTGCACCACGTGCATGTCCTTGCCGGCGCGACCGTTCTGCAGGATCTGGCCAGAGCTGTCGGTGACCACCTGCACTGGCGGGTCCTGGCTGTCCCACCGGTCCGGGAAGCCGGGGATGATGGGGACCCCGTTCCAGGTGGCGCTGAGGGCGGAGACGCGAAGGATGTTGTCCCTGCCGTCCTTGCTCTTCAGGAAGGGCCCGCCGATGGCGATCTCCTTCATGACGGAGAGCCCGTTCGTCACGACGGTGGGCGCGTAGCGGCCCTGCATCCACACCGTGTCGCTCTTCACGGCCCAGTACTCGCCCGCGCTGTAGAAGCTCGCGCGGGAGCCGTCGAAGGTGATGACGTGGGGGTCGCCGTAGATCAGGCACTCCCCCTGCGGGCCCTGCGGCGGGGGGGTCGGCGCCGGCGGCGTGGTGGTCGTGGGCGCCGGCGTCTCCTCCGTGGGCGCCGGCGTGGGCCTGGGCGTGGGCTCGGGGCGGGGAGGCGGCGTCGTGACGGGCGGCCTGTAGGGGACCACATGTGGAACCCGACCCCCACCCCCCACGATTTCTAAGGGGGGGTCGGGGTGCACTTCGCTCGGGAGCTCCCAAACGGAGTGACCCGACCCCCCCCCCTTCTCCTAGAAATGGTGGGTGGTGGGGGTAGGGTTCACATGTGGTCACCGAGCCTGGTCGTGGTGGAGGTGGTCGTCGTGGTCTGGTCGAGGAGCGGCCAGAGCAGGAGCAGGGGCAGCAGGAGGCACAGCGACCACCAGCAGCTGCACCCGGGGCCGGGGATCGGGACCGCCGCGATGCTGCCGGCGCCTGCGCCGACGTACCTGTACACGGTGGTGGGGATGAAGTCCCCGCGGCCCTGCCCGACGACGGCGTACGTGTAGCCCGCCGTGCCGCACGAGCCGCAGCCGACGCCGCCGCAGCCGCACGCGGCACAGCCCGCCAGGCACGCGGCGGCGCCGGGGCCGCACGAGGCGGCGGCGCAGTCGCCGCAGCCTCCGCCGCCGCCAGCGTACCCGGCCGACGGAGCGCCCCCAGCGTAGCCGCTGGGGTACACGGCCGGGGCGCCGCCCACGGGCGCGCCCCCTGCATACGCGCCGCCCTGCAGCAGCGGTGAGGGGCCCATCGCCGACCCCATCGCGCCGACCCGCCCCCTCCCCGACGCCATCATCGCGCCGCCAGGGACGGCGTACGCGCTCCCGAAGGCCGCCATCGGGCTCCTCTCTTGGCAGCGGTGGAACCGTGTCTCGGGAACAAAAGCTTGAGCCAAAGGCTACGGAGCCAGCGAACTCCACACACTGGCTGCTGGCCTCCCAGCCTGCCCACGGCGCGCAGCCTTCGCGTCTCCCTGCAAGGCGTGCACGCTTGCTGGCGCGGAAGAGGGGGGACAGTGCAGGGGGATGAGCTCCGAGGCCATGTCTTTCACCGAACCCGCACCATGCTCCCCGCACATGCTTCTCCCCACCCGACAGGTTGGGGATGTCGGACTTCAAGAGAATCTGACACCAGAGACAAGCCCCAATCGGTGGATGGCTTGAACATTGGTGGTATGGAGATTGACAGATCGATTATGAGATCGATCGTGGAATCGATAGTGAGACCGATAGTGAAGTCGAGCCAATGACAAGTCGATGCAATGAGACCAATCGTGAGATCGATCGTGAGATCGTTCGTGCGATCGATAGTGAAATCGATTGTGAGATCGATAAAGAGACCGATTGTGATGTCGAACATGACATTGATAGAGAGGTGGATAAAGCGACCGATGGTAAGACCGATCGATGCGAAGATCGACCAGGAACCCGGGAACCCGGGATCCCCGCCGCCCACCGAAGTCGGTATAGGACCCGGAACCCGGGAACCCGGGAACCCGGTGGCCCGGCCGCCCACCGAAATCGGCCCGGAACTGCCGCCAAACCCTCCAACATCCGCGAGGACACCTTCAGTGCAGGCACTGATCGGTGATCGACTGCGAGATCGATCGTGGAATCGATAGTGACAACGATAGTGAAGAAGTCGATCCGATGACACCGATGGTGGAGTCGACCCAATGAGATCAACAGTGAGATCGATCGTGAGATCGCTCGTGCGATCGATGGTGAGAAAAGGTCTCCCGCCCCGCCTCGCAGGCCCTGCAATACCGCGGCCGCCAGGCCCGAGGCGTGCTGGGTGCTCCCCTGCAGGGGGCCATCCCGCTTTCGAGCCTTCGACGGAGGACGGCTGCACGCCGCGGCCGCCGGGCCCAGCGTGTGCGGGTGCTCCTCGGGGATCCCGCATCGGGTTCTCAGCGGGGCCCACTCGAAGCAAAACATGTACTTCATCACGAGCATGCCATGCTGACCAGCTGTAGTCCACCAAATTTCCATCGAGGTAGAAACACATTCCCGCGAAGTGTGCAGAACCCAAACCATTACCCCCATTGGTGGGCGTTGCCATCTACGGGACTGTGGGTACTCTCGAGTTCCTGGCAGGTTCAGCGGAGCGCAGTCTTACCCTGACCCAGACTGCTGCTCCTGGCCCTGGGCGTTGCCAGCTGCTGCGCAACCGTCGGCAACTTGGTGAGCTCCTGGCAGACTCCGCGGATCACCGCCATGCGCAAGCGCAACCTATGACTCCCATCCCCGTGCGGTGCCAACTGCGCAACTGGTGGCACATCCGTGATGTCCTGGGAGATCCAGTTGAAATCAGCTGAATGCGGTTCTTCTGTGCAAGCCCGACCCAGGACATCCATCCCTGGGCGCTGACAACTGCGCAGCAATCGGCATTTACATGAGCTCTGGGGAGGTCCAGCGGAATGCGGCCATGCGCAGGAGGAGGAGGAGGAGGAGGAGGAGGAGGAGGAGACAGGAGGAGACAGGAGGAGGAAACTGGATTCCGTATCCTCCTGGGTGGGTCACCTGTTCCAAATAACGCGATGCTTTTCCCACCCTCTCCTCTCCCGATCCCTCCCCTCCTCCCTTCTTCCGCTCCCTAGGCGCTGCCAAGGGCGCAATTGTTTGCACCTTCGTGAGCCCCTGGGACATCCAGCAGAGTACGGTCCCACGCAACAAGCCTGAACTATCACTCCCCCCCTTCTGGGCACTGCTCGTTGTGCAACGGTCATCATTTCCGTGAGCTCCTGGGAGGTCCAACTGAGTGCGGCCCCGCGCGGACGTCAACGGTTACTCTCCTTCCTCCCTGGACGTTGCCAAGTGCGCAACCGTCGGCACTCTCGTGAGCTCCTGGGATGTGCGGATGATTTTGGTGTTATGAATGGATCCAGGCTATGATTACTCTCCTTCCTCCCTGGGCGCTGACCACTGCGCAACTGTCGGCATTTCCATGAGCTCCCAGGAGTTTCAGCGGAATGCGGCCTTACGCAGGAGGAGGAGGAGGAGGAACATGAGGAGGAGGACGATGAAGACGAGGAGGAGGACGACGAGGAGGAGACAGGAGGAAGAGAAAAATGTCCAAACCCAATTTGTGCCAAACGCGCAACTATCTGCACGTTCGTGAACTCCTGGGAGATATCGCGGAGTGCCGCTTTATGCCAGCAGATCGATGTCCTCCGGTGCCGCCACATAAAATGTGGCCTTCTTCGGGGACGCAATGCATAGGCCCCCCATGTAGCTCGGAGGATGGGCAACCCGCCCTATATAATGTTCACTCGCCTTGGATGAGCTCGTTGATGTTACCATTTATTACGCATGGATAGAGTGTGTCCCTGGGCCCCTGGGTTTTTGATTCGGGCGGGGTTCATGGATGTTGGCAGCGCCGTCCGTCCAGCCAGCGCCCTCAAGGCCGGGGCCTTGAAGAAAAGAAAGGCCACGCCCCACGAGTGCCTCAAACTGAGGAGAAGTGAGGAGGACAATGATGGAGGAGGGCGGAGGAGCAGGGCAAGGAGAGACGGGAGACAACGGCCGAGGCACCGTCGGAAGACGTCAGAGGCCTTGCGTGCAAACATCGGCACCAGCACTTTGTCGAGGCGCCAGAACAAACAGCAACCACCAAGAGAAAACAAGCTGTTCGATACTCGAACGCTAAAGACCAGAATAGACTTTGTCTTGGCCGCTGACGTTCGCTGCCTCCAACCGGCCCGGCCTGGGGTTGCCTGAGCTGCGAACGAGTGCGCCCACACGGTTCCGTGGGACTCGGGAGCAGACACGGCGCGAGCGCCAACCACGGGGCCTCCGGGGCGCGCTGCTGAATTACATGTCCGCATCGTGATCCGCGAAAGCGTCGCCGCCGAAGCAGACATCGATCATGCACTCCTCGCTGGCAAGGCCGTTCGCCGACTTCTCCTCGCACACCTTGCGGGCGTGGTCCGCCTTCACCGTGGGGCAGTTGTTGAGGTCGGGGCGATTCGGCGCGTGCACGGGGGTCTTCGTGCGGTACAGGAGCTGCGCGGGGTCAACGCCGTTGGTGCCGATGCGGCTGCGGATCAGGGGACGGGTGTCGTCCGCACCGTTGCCGTTGAAGTTCCCGCAGTGGCCGTCCTGGTTGGGCTGCTTGGACATGACGATCCGCGCGTTGATGTAATCTCCCTCGCCGGGCTCGTTCCAGCGGTTGATCTGCACGGTGATGAACAGCGGCAGGGTCACGTGCACCACGTGCATGTCCTTGCCGGCGCGACCGTTCTGCAGGATCTGGCCAGAGCTGTCGGTGACCACCTGCACTGGCGGGTCCTGGCTGTCCCACCGGTCCGGGAAGCCGGGGATGATGGGGACCCCGTTCCAGGTGGCGCTGAGGGCGGAGACGCGAAGGATGTTGTCCCTGCCGTCCTTGCTCTTCAGGAAGGGCCCGCCGATGGCGATCTCCTTCATGACGGAGAGCCCGTTCGTCACGACGGTGGGCGCGTAGCGGCCCTGCATCCACACCGTGTCGCTCTTCACGGCCCAGTACTCGCCCGCGCTGTCGAAGCTCGCGCGGGAGCCGTCGAAGGTGATGACGTGGGGGTCGCCGTAGATCAGGCACTCCCCCTGCGGGCCCTGCGGCGGGGGGGTCGGCGCCGGCGGCGTGGTGGTCGTGGGCGCCGGCGTCTCCTCCGTGGGCGCCGGCGTGGGCCTGGGCGTGGGCTCGGGGCGGGGAGGCGGCGTCGTGACGGGCGGCCTGTAGGGGACCACATGTGGAACCCGACCCCCACCCCCCACGATTTCTAAGGGGGGGTCGGGGTGCACTTCGCTCGGGAGCTCCCAAACGGAGTGACCCCCCCCCCCTTCTGCTAGAAATGGTGGGTGGTGGGGGTAGGGTTCACATGTGGTCACCAAGCCTGGTCGTGGTGGAGGTGGTCGTCGTGGTCTGGTCGAGGAGCGGCCAGAGCAGGAGCAGGGGCAGCAGGAGGCACAGCGACCACCAGCAGCTGCACCCGGGGCCGGGGATCGGGACCGCCGCGATGCTGCCGGCGCCTGCGCCGACGTACCTGTACACGGTGGTGGGGATGAAGTCCCCGCGGCCCTGCCCGACGACGGCGTACGTGTAGCCCGCCGTGCCGCACGAGCCGCAGCCGACGCCGCCGCAGCCGCACGCGGCACAGCCCGCCAGGCACGCGGCGGCGCCGGGGCCGCACGAGGCGGCGGCGCAGTCGCCGCAGCCTCCGCCGCCGCCAGCGTACCCTGCCGACGGAGCGCCCCCAGCGTAGCCGCTGGGGTACACGGCCGGGGCGCCGCCCACGGGCGCGCCCCCTGCATACGTGCCGCCCTGCAGCAGCGGTGAGGGGCCCATCGCCGACCCCATCGCGCCGATCCGCCCCCTCCCCGACGCCATCATCGCGCCGCCAGGGACGGCGTACGCGCTCCCGAAGGCCGCCATCGGGCTCCTCTCTTGGCAGCGGTGGAACCGTGGCTCGGGAACAAAAGCTTGAGCCAAAGGCTACGGAGCCAGCGAACTCCACACACTGGCTGCTGGCCTCCCAGCCTGCCCACGCCGCGCAGCCTTCGCGTCTGCATGTCCACTCATAAAAGGTGTACACGCTTACTGGACTGGAAGAGGGGGAAGAGTGCAGGGGGGATGAGCTCTAAGAGACTGCATTGCACCGAACCCACACAATCTGATCCGCGCATGTGTTTGTGGCACAAGCCTGCCCCAAAGGAAGACAACATGCAACTGACCATCTTTCTCGTGAGATCGAAACACATGCCCGTTGGTAGAACATGTGACTCCTCGCACTTCGGCGTCAAGACTGGTCTGGATCCGTCACCGCGCGTTGCAGCCACAAATTTGCCAAACCTTTGGCTTTCCACCTCGCTTCATAGTGCTCCGACGGCTACGCTTTGCGCCCACACCCCGCGACCAATGCATGTCCCCCCTTATCTCCTCCAACCCAAGGCCTTCTGCAATCAGGCGAAACGCCCCGTGTGGACCAGCCGATCACACTCCCGAGGTGACGTTGCGCTCTGGCTCGAGTCGTTGCGCCTCGCAACAAAATGATCTCGTGCACTCTCCTCAGGCGTTCGTCACCGGGGGCAAAGAACGTGCGTGAAGAAACATGCACTTGTTGTGCGCCTTCTGTGACCACGGTGCCATTTTCGGGAACGCTCGGCCGATTCCGGAGACCCCGAATCCAGAAATGCTGGTCATCTCTTGGGAGGCCGACTCTTGCTTCCGTCAGCTTCCGCCGGGCTTCCTTTTTTTTTGGTTGACGCGACCCCCTTTGCCTCGGAAGCTTAGCGGGGGCACCAGCACAACCGTGAAAACGACGCGGCGCGCTTCAGAATCGGAGACGAGGCCCTGGATAAAGGGAAATTAGGACACACAAATAAATACACACAAATAAAAATCGAACCCATATTTTCCCATATTTTCTGGGTTTTTGTCTTCCCCCCCAATTCCCATATTTTCCCATATTTTCCTGGGAATCGAGGATTAATTGTGTCTGTGTGTTTTTTTCCCTCCTGACTGGAACGGACAGCGGGTGCGGAGCGGCAGGCCCGACTGGCGCCGACCTCCGCCGGCGGAGCCGCCGCCGTGTCACCTCAGGCCGCCGTCCGCCGACCTTCCGCCGCGGAGGAGATGGGAGCTCCTCTGCTCCTCGAGGGCAGGGCCCTTCTTGACGAACCAGCAGCACACACCCATACCCATAGGGGGGGATCGGAGAGGGCTATGGGTGCGTGCTGTCGGATGGGGGCCCCCGCTCGAACGGGAGCGTTCCCCAAGGTCCGACAACCCGCACCCACACCCATAGCCAGTCCTCCTCCCAAGGACCTCCCTACGGGTATGGGTGTGTGTTGTTCCTTCGGCCCTCCTTGGAACGCCTCATTTTAGGGCCCGCTCAGGACCGCGCTCCTGCCATGCCCGATCCCCCCGACGTTTACGGCCCAACCCGTTGCTGCCCGCCCGATCCTCCTGGTCTCCCTGTTTTGGACACCCGAGATGGGCACGGAAAGACTGGGCACTATGCCCAACAACAAATGTTGTCCCAAGCCAACAGCGGCCGCTGTTGGACAGGCGGCCTTCTGTCTCGAATGGACACAGGCCGCGGCGGCGTGGACAGCGAGCCCTGTTCAGAATGAACAAGATCCGCTGTTGGGCATTGTACCCATTCTTTCAGTACCCATTTCGTGCGTGCAGATTCCCTGTGGCCCTCGTGCCCTGGATCTCGCCCCGCCCCCCAGGTTGGGCGGTGCAGCGGCCCGCGGACGCAGGAGAGGCGCCCCGCCTCCCGAGGCCTGGTGCGGTCAACCTGTAAACGAAGGACGCGCGAGGAGGAGGAGGAGGAGGAGGAGGAGGAGGAGGAGGAGGAAGAGGAGGAGGAGGAGGAAGAGGAGGAGGAGGAGGAGGAGGCAGGAGGGCAAGAAGGCAAGAAGGACGCGCGATGAGGGTGCAGGGGCCCTGGAGGGCCGTGTCGACACTTTGCGAGCGGGGCGCGGCCAGCGGAGGCGGCCAAGGATGCGCCGAAGGGGGAAATATGCAGGGGCCAACTTGGAACGTCGCTCATCCCTACTGTGAAAGGGGCCCCAGGACACACAAAGATGCACACACAAGTAAAAAGACTCCCCATATTTTCCCATATTTTTGGTGGTTTTGTCTTCCCCCCCACTTCCCATATTTTCCCATATTTTCTGGGGAGTCGACGATTAATTGTGTCTGTGTGTTTCTCGTCCTCTTGATACTGTGCGGGCTGACTGTAGCTCTGCTGATTGTGAGTCGATGCGCCCGCCGAACAACATGGAAGGCCAATAAACACCGCTTGCCACAGAGAGCTTGACCTCCAGTGCGGGCGGACACGGCGTTCAAGAGGCCGCAGACGACTTTACGTTACAGCTGTGCCTGATTGAAACTCATGGCGAACATCAAACCAAAACACCGCGAGCAACATGAAAACCATGTTGCAACCGGCTGCGGCGAAAGCGCGCTAGAATCTTGTGTCGTGCAGTTGCACCTAGGGCAATCCTGCTATTCACTCTTGCTCCGCAGTGACTCTTGGGTCTTGGGCAGGACGCGTATTCATGTCCACCACCTTGCGGACTGGACCCCTCAAGCTACAATCCTTTGGAAACTGGCGGATTTGCGCGGTATGCTGCTCACTCGTGGGTGATATTCACGTTTGGCCCTTGCTACTATTCATAGACGGCTTGCCAAGCTGGCACGCTGGCCTGCCCATCTTTTGCGACAAACTCGCGAAACCACGGCCATTCAACTACAGCATCGCTGCGCAATTTATCCAAGCGATTCGGCGGACGTGTGCGGAAGCGATACTGGCCAATCGAGCGTGTTGTCATGCGCAATTTCTTCCCTGTGAAGCCGTAGGTGTCCCCTCAAAATTCCTCTCGGCCATCATGCGTCCATTTTTCATCAAGCCCCTGGGTCCAAAACCTTCCGAGAACAACAAACGACTGCCGTGCCACCCTCCGAGAAGGCCCTGCTCTCCTCCCCCGCCTCGGCGGTGCAAAGATGGAGCCCTGAACGCCCATCACCCCCCACAGCGCCCCGTCTTCCAGGCCCCCCATCCTCCCAGCCATGAGCTTCGTAGTTAACCGATCCTTATCCTCACTGGCGTGGCCTGGGCCCAACCGGCCAAGCTAACCTCCTAGATGGGGATATTGGCTATTAGCTCTGGGTTGCGAGGGGCCCTTCCCCAACCGGGGTGGTGGAATGGTGGGGCTGGAAGACCATGGTCTGGTGGAAGGACGGGGACGGGTTTCATGGTGCCCATCGGTCGGACAAAAGCGGGCGGGAAGATTGAGTGGGAAGGCGCCGGACGCAGATGGGATCTCCGCCAGCCCCCTGAAGATGAGAGACGAGGGGACATCCTTCGACTTATGAAGCAGGACGGCGCCCGACACAGACTGAGTCTCGGGCCGACCAGCCACAACTGGGGGAGCTGTGGTCCTTACCCCCCATGGGGGAACCCATCGCATCGACGATCTCTCGAGATGGGTGCCGAAATCGATGGGTCCCCCAGGGGGGTACGGACCACAGATCCCGCAGCTGTGGCTGGCCTGTCAGGAGTCCAACGAACGCATCTTGCTCCAACGGCCGATGGGCACGGAGGCCACACACCCACAGCACGCGGAGGGCACGCGGGAGGAGGAGGAGGAGGAGGAGGAGGAGGAGGAGGAGGAGGAGGAGGTGGAGGTGGAGGTGGAGGTGGAGGAGGACGAGGAGGAGGAAGAGGAGGAGGAGGAGCCTAGGGGCTGGGGGCGCACAGCCCGCGGCGCGGCGCGCGCCGAGCGCAAGCGGAGGCGCTCGGAGCACGCCGCCGCGGCGGCCTGCCGGACTCCACTGGGCCAGCCAGGCTGGGGACGAACAGGAAGGGCTCGTTGAAGCGAGCATCCTGGGCGCAGGGTGTGCGAGCAGCATGGGTCCGACACGTAGCCCCAATGGCGTGGCCTGGACCCCACTGGCCGATCTGCCCCCCGCAGGTGGAGATATGGGCTGCTCTCTTCGGGCTTCGAGGGGTGAATCGCCTGGGATAGGGATCGATTGTCCGTCGTTCGGAAGAAGTGGGTAGAAGCAATAGGACGGCGGTACACGCGGTCGGGAAAAGTATGTAGAACCATGGAGGAAGGCGTTGGAGGTAGGTAGGATATCCACCCGACCTCTGAAGAGGAGGGAAGAGGGAAGACCACTCGATCATTGAAGTAGAAAGGCGCCTAAAATGAATTGGGAATTGGACATCAAGAAATACGTACTTTCAAGGACTGGCGTGTAGGGATCGGTTAAACGATGTTTTTGTCCATCCCCCCTGATTCGCTGGTTTGCTAAGTTTCCTGTCATCATGGCGGTTGAGGCGAAGTCTCAAGCAATGGCCAAGATGGCCAGGGTGCCCGGCCCTAAATGTTAGATTGACGCATCCTGAGAGTTAGAAGAAACGAGAGGGGGCAACGGAGACAATTCAGCGGGAGGCCCCAATCCACCACGAAGGGTGCCAGGCATCCGAGTCGGTAGCGCATCGCCGAATTGCACGCCAGGAGGAGGAGGGGGGCGACGGCAAAACCTGCGGACGGTATCAGGGGAACGCACCGACAAAGCATCCGACAGGGCGCGGTGCCTTCGGGCTGTCACCCCGAGCCGAGCCTCGAAGTGTTGAGCAGGGGTGACAGGTCTAAAAAGACGGCGGGGATTACATGCCGCAAGACAAGGATCGCAGCATGCAGCGCGCAACAAGCAGACATGGGTAGCAACGCGGAAGAGAATGAGGAGGAGGAGGCAGAACCAATAAGGCCGCCCGCCTTGAGGTCCACTGAACGGTCCAGAATAATATCTAGGTCGGGTCCTGAATTCCTGGGCACATGCAATAATGGTCAATCGAATCCAGATCGGCCCCAAGGAAGGCGGGAACATCCAAACAAACATCCACAAGGGGTACCATGAAATCTCGCACTTGTTCAAAACGTCGCCGTGAGCAAACGCAGAGGACCCACACCAGTATGCATGGAGGCGTCTTCCACGACATTCTCCAAATTCATGCAACAATCAGCGACCATGGAGGCTCCAGCCCCTGGGATAAAGTAGTGGGCGCGTCGAAGAAGGATGGACGTTGCAGGCTCCGTCGGGGTATACTGGCGGATAAAAGCGAACAGCTTAGATTGGATGGATTTGCTCTCAACCTCAAAACCAAGATCTTGAACATCATACCACCAAAGAAGACCACGCACGTACAAGATACAATAATGCTGCTGCCGACCAGTGCCAGCGAGAAAAGATGTGCTCCATGCATTATCGCTCAACCCCGAGCTCGCCCAACGCCTTCGGAAGTCACTCGAACGAAGAAGATCTCGGAGGAAAGCCGCTTTCGCAATTGCGTGGGCGTCAATGTCCTCTACACTGGAATTAATGACCAGGTTCTTGGAAATGGCGCTCCGCGGGCCAACTGTAAGAAGAAAAACACCTCATTTGAATAACTGCGTGACCATATTGTTCGGCGGGTGCATCTGGAAGCGGAACAGAAGAAGTGAAACACGCGCAACTCTGTACGATACGTCCGAGAACGCGAGTCCGAACCCCAAGCCAAGAGTACGTCGAATGCGACGGTTGAACTTAGGAGCGATATCGTGCCGCAGATGATGGTCAGCCTCAGGGCCTATCGGTACACCCATGATGGCCCTGGAGCAAGACATAATATCTTAGGAAGGGCGACCGAACGACGCAAGGGTAGCCCCCCAGGAAATGACGAGTCACTTCACTGCAAAAAAACTGGCACTTCTTAAAGTTCAGGCGTCGGTTGGCAACCTTGGCCAAGAGCATCAAGCAGACAGACCAGGGTCTAAATCACGAAGCGAGTTTACCAAACCAAAGGGAAAGTCATCAGCACACGCAATGTTAATGTTAATGTGAGCTGCGCGGCGGTGCAGGATCAAGCGAACAAAAAATATTGGCACCAAGGACAAACAGACACATGGAAGCCGGGCAGCTGTGCTTGACGCCAGAGCAGATATCGATCCCTTCAAATCGGCGGCCAAAGTGGCCTGGGTAATACTATTCCCCATTCCTAAGAAGCGGATAGCGCGCGCAGGAATGAGCCCGCACCTTAAAACATGGAAGAGCCAGGAAATAGCCGAGGAGGGGGGGGGGCGACGGGAAGACTTGTCGCCGCACATTTGGCGAGCGATACTTCGTGCCTCCGCGAGGGCCACATGAGCCAGACTGCGACCACGCACACATGTTTTTTCGCGACCAATGAGAAACGACGCGCGCTCACCCAAACAATCATGAACGCGTTAGCCAGCAGCTTAATGTCGATACTACTCATGCTGAGCGGCCTAGTGGCGACGGGCTGACGAATAAAGCTGGCGCAGCCAAGCTGCCCCCTTGGGTCAGCACCGTGCTAGGGAGAAAGACAAGCAAGACCCGCCTCATGTCGTCGGGACAAGCGCATTTGCCCACAGAGCAGCATAAGGTAAACATAACCTCGATGCCCCTTCGTTTTCCAAACCGAATACAAAACGACAACGGGGCCAGGCATACTATGCTGACGGTGAAGAACAAGCTCATGCGAGATGCTGTAAGGGAGGGCCCAGTCCTGATCCAGAGAGCCAAAATGAACTTGGATGAACGGGTTGATGGCGTTCCAGAGGACAAGGATGATCGAACGAGATTGGAATCTGTCGTGCCAACAATCAGGGAAGGCAGCGGCCGATGCCTCGTTGGAGAGCATGGGGGGCCACAAGTATCGTAGACAGCCGAAACGGTAGGTGCGTTTGCGGAAATCACTCTGGAAACTCCTGCTGGCGACGGCTACGGGCAAGACGTCCACGCTTGCGGCCAGTGTCAAACTCTTCGCGGCGAACAGCCTCCGCCCCCCTTGCCTTTTTGCGACGCGGAGCTTGGCGAGGGTCAGAGGTTGTGGGGGGCAGCGCGTCTGGCGACATGTCCTGGCGAGGGGTATCATCATTGCAATATCCCCCATTGCCCCTTCTGCCCCTTCGTCCCCTCGTTCCCTTCGTCTGCCTGATCCCCCTCTTTGCCTTGCAGCGTTTTTGAGTGGCTTCTGTCCTTCTCCCCCATACTTGCCCCCGCTCCTTTCTGAGCCGCGGCTCGCAGGCAGGAGGCCTCGAGAAAGTCATCGGACCGAGGTCAGAGTGTAAACGCACGCTATTGGTCAGAGCACTGCAGCGTAACGCGGAGCCGAGGGCGGCGCCCGACTGCTAGACAGGGGCCGCCGCGCGCGCGCCCAGGACGGCGGGCCCGCAGGGCAGCGGGAAGCCAATGACTTGAGCAGGGACCGGCCGTCCCGGCATTCCTATAGTCCTAGCGCGAAATGTTCTCAGAACCCCCAAAGTGTTCTAAGAACAAACCGATTGTTCTTAGAACAACATAGACCCGATGCGATAAAACAGGACCGTCCTCACCAGAAATGTTCTGAGAACACACTTCGCGGGAGCCACAAAAGGTTCCTGGAGCACTGTTTGGCAGGGCCCTAGGCACGCCAGGACGCCTCACCACTGCTTGAATGATCCGCATCTTGGCGCGCGTCTGCCCGGCGAGTGCCAGGCGCGGCACGCGCCGCGCAGGCGGCCCCGAGGACACTGCGCGCCGCCGCTCGGAGCCCGCTGCGGGCCCCCCCAGGACCGCGGAAGCTCGTCCAGCGGCCCACGCAGGGCGTAATGGAACCCAGGCAGGGGCGCAGTCAGGTCCGAAGCGAGGTGGCAGGGCGCCGAGACGACGGAGAGAACGGCCCCAGGGCAGCCATCGCAGGCGCGCGGCCAGTGGCCACGAAGGCCCCGGGAGAGCCCCAGGACGCGACCGCCCGACAAATAAGCAGGGGGAGCGAAGTGCACGGACGATCGATCCGGGAAGCGCGAGGGACAGCTTCTCCTGTTCCACCCCTTCGCGCGTCCTGGCCCCGGAAGCGCTCGGCGAGGCAGGGGGGGAACTGGTGGGCAATTCTACAGCGCGGGGCGTCGCCAACATACCGCCCACTCCCGTCGCCTCTGCATCTCCCGCCCTCCTCAAGGACGAAATTAAAGCCGCCCATCAGGACGCAGCGGGCCGCGCAATCATTGCCGCCGGACGCGGGCGAGATACAATCGGACTGCAACGTGCGAAAGACACCAGTCAATAACGGCACAAGGTCACGCGCGCTGGAGGGACGACTATTACACATGACCAAATTCGCCCTCGGGCCCAAGAGAAGATTCTTGAGGGCCTTACCCGCGACGCTCGTCTCGCGCTGCATATCGCGGAACACGGGGGCGAGAGCGGGGGAGATGACAGCGATAACTCCACCTTCACGGCTGGAGTCCTCAAAGAACGAAAAGTCAAATGCGTTCGCGCGGAGCTCGCGCTCCAATTCATTGATGTCACCAATGTGACCGCGTGTCTCCTGCGCAGCAACTGCGTCAAACTTCCCACGCAATGCGACGCAAAGGAACTATTGCTCAGGCGCGCGAGCAGTCTCAGAGCGCGCCGCACCCACAAACGCGTCGCAACTCCAAGCTCAAATCGAAAGTGGCGGAGATGGCATGGGCAATGGCGTCGCATCCCCAAGAGGAGCGCAATCATGAGGAGCGGAGGGTGGGGCGGGGGGAGAGGGGAACTGCCTGCGGCGCTGGAACGGCCAGGTTCAGCGTCGAAAGGGCCGACGCAGCTGAGTCTGCGCAGCTTGCTCTAGAGCGCCTGCGCGATGCGCGATGCCACGCTCCGAAATTGCGTCGCGTATCACCTCAGCCTCAACGGCTCCGCTGACGCTGACCGAGATGTCGACTGCAGGCGCGGGGTCGTGCGCTACGCGAAGGACGCGCGCGCGCCCGCCGACCCCAAAATCCCCGACCTCATAACCGAGAGTTTTCAGTAAGACAGTTTGGCGGTTGCGAACGATGTCTAGCGAGACAA